CAAACTATTCTTCTCACTGCAACCAGGGTGATCTTTTAATAATTCAAATCTGATCATGTCTTGCCCCTGCTTACAACCCTTCAATGGCTTCCCTTACTTTTAGGATAAAATGTCAGTCTTTAACAGGGTCCATTCGGCCCTTTCTTCATCCTCATTTTGCACCATTCTCACCTCTTTGTTCCTTCCTGCCACGGAACTTGGAAATATGTTTCCTCTGCTCGGAGCACTCTTTCTTTCCCAATTTGTCTCTCCAATTCATACTCTTTCTTTGTTCTTGGGTGTAATGTCACTTCCTTGGGAAAGCTTTTTCTGACTCCCTATTGGAGGTAACACCCTCCTGCCAACATGTCTTTATTGTAAGTATAATTGTTTGGGAAATTTTGTGGTTTTTTTACTCCATACTGAAAGCTTTGCGTTGGAGATTGTGTCTGTTCACTGTCGTGTTCCTAATTCTGACCATACTGCCTAACACACAGTAGGCACTTCGTGAATTTTTGTTGAATTGATGAATAAGGTGGTTAAGGAATTGGATGTCTTACTCTGAGATGAGGATGTCTTGAGGTAAGAGAGTAGGTTTGGTAGTTGAAAAGCTGGAAGGAGATGAGTTTGTAGCCAGAGTAAGATGTTGAGAGTTGCAGATTTAGAGGAGGAATGGTTTCAGGAGATGGCAGGGTCCGGGACTGAGTTGTTGGAGTAGAGATGGAGGTCTTTGCATTTGATGAGATTATGAAACTTTAAGGCAGAAATGTTGGATGGATTTTACAGGTGAGTGTTGAAACTGCTGAGGAAAATGTAAGGCAGGTGTCTAGGTCTTTAATAAATATGAGAGATGGACACAGTGCTTTCCTATGTTGAAAGAATTAAATGGGTAAGAATCAGTGCAATTCTGGGAATCAGTAATGCCTTAGTCCCTTGGGAGGCAGTGTGGTACATTAGAGAGAGCATGAGTTCAAAATATCTGGGTTTAGACTTTGGGCAACCGACGTGACTTTTCAAGCCTTATTTTATTTATTTATTTATTTATTTATTTATTTATTTATTTTGAGGAAGATTAGCCCCGAGCTAACATCTGCTGCCAATCCTCTTCCTTTTGCTGAGGAAGACTGGCCCTGAGCTCACATCTGTGCCCATCTTCCTCCGCTTTATATGTGAGACGCCTACCTCAGCATGGCTTGCCAAGTGGTGCCATATCCGCACCTGGGATCTGAACCAGCGAGCCCTGGGCCGCTGAAGCGGAACGTGTGCACTTAACCGCTGTGCCACCGGGTGGCCTCTGTTTCTCTATTTGTAAACTGGGAATAATAAACAAGGAGTTTTGTCATTAATGAATAAGACAGTGTTTTTGAAAGTGCTTAATTAATATTAACTTGTTAGTTTTTATTCTTTTTTTTTTAAGATTTTATTTTTATTTTTTCCTTTTTCTCCCCAAAGCCCCCTGGTACATAGTTGTATATTCTTCATTGTGGGTCCTTCTAGTTGTGGCATGTGGGACGCCGCCTCAGCGTGGTTCGATGAGCAATGCCATGTCCGCACCCAGGATTCGAACCAACGAAACTCTGGGCCGCCTGCAGCGGAGCGTGTGAACTTAACCACTCGGCCACGGGGCCAGCCCCTGTTAGTTTTTATTCTTGATTGCTGTCATCACTTCAAGAGGGCATGGAAGTAGAAGTAGGAATGAGAGGCAAAGATGGCAGCAGAAGTGAATTTTGAACAAGGTACATGACTTCCTTTGTTCCATATGTTGAGTTTATACTATGGGGTCAGCACAGGCATTTACAAATGAATACAGGTAAAAGCAAGTGTTGATGTAAGGAAGCATTTTGTGAAATAAAGGTCATTGGCTGGCTCATCATAACATTGCTCTATTGATCCACAGCAAATTTTTATGTAAAGAAATGCTTTATCTAATCATTTCCCACGAAGATTCCTTCATTTCTGGGAGTAGATTTTATTGTTCTGGAGAACAGAACAAGGACCAATATGTGAAAGGTATATGGGCAGGAGGGCTGTTGATTTAGTTTAGAAAAGCGTTTTCTAATGATTAGAGCTATCTGAATAAAATGGACATCGTGGCAAAGGAATGAGTTCTCTGTCAGAGGTTGTATTCCCAGGGAGACTGGATGATTTATCTGTCAGAGATGTAATAGAAGGATTCTTGTATGGGGGCAGATACTGGATTAAATAATTGCTGAAGTCTCTTGCAATTGCTAGACTGGAGGATTTTGACTCCACTTGACGTTTGTCTAAACATCATTCAATAGACAAATATTTGAGTGCCTCCTCTGTTTCATTTGAAAGTTTGAAAGCCAGTGTTTGTTTTCTTTTTTCCTTCCTGTGTGCTGAGACAGAGCCAAGGACGTTGAGTCTTAGTTATTGCCTTGGATCCATTTGGAATTTGAGATGCTCTAGCTGGGGGTTGGTGGTGATGTAATAAAAGCTGCTGTCCTCACCTGTTGGGTGGGGTTCGGGTGGAGTCCATGGCATGCACCTGGAGACATCAAGTATAAGAATCTGCCAAGAAGTTTGGTTTAGTGCTTTGAATTTTTGAGCAAGGCATTCTTGATAATGTTAGATCTCTATTTTAAAAAAATATTTTTTGGAAAAGAATGACCTACTTTGTTAGCATATGAGATCTGTGATGCCATAACATTGATGGTTTTCATTGGCTTCCCTCGCTTAGAAGCCTGTATCTGGCTGGGAAATTGCCTACATGCCTGTGGCTTAATCAACTCTTCTTTCTTCTGCTGAGCACCTTTTTGCTGACTGCTATTTGTGTGCTTATTGTATATTTCCCACATTCTTTCAGAAAGTTATTAAAGTGGTTTTACTAAGTTCCTTTGCATGTTTTAAGAGAGAAGATTGAAATTAATTTTGCAGCTATGCTCTTGGTTTTGGATTATTTATAAGTTGGGCTCCTACCATCTCCTGTGACCTCAGACGGTGACTAAAATGAGCTTGGAGAAGGAATTCTTGTCTGTATGAGGGGAGGGAGAAGCCACTCATTAGTCTGTGAATTTTGAAGGAATTTAATTAAGTATTGAATGTAAAGAAGTAATTTATTTTATAACTTAACATTTTGGCTTTGAGATATCTTAGGCCAAAAGTTCTTTATGTATTTGTAGCCTTTGCTGACAATTGTAATATTGAAATGGAAGTAAATTAGACGTTGATAATACATAGACCAAAAGAGAAAGTAAGGATCATAGTTTATGAGGCTGTAGTGAACTGATACAGTTCATTTTTTTAAACCTGGAAAGGATCTTAGACGTCATTGAATCCAAGTCTAGGATATACAAGAGGCGCCTGAAACCCTCTAAGTAATTTGACCAAAGTCACCCAGCTAATATATACGGGTGTAGGTAAAAATCATATGCTATGAGGATGGTGGAAGTAGTAACTGTACAATTGATGTCTCTTTAGAAAGAAGAGTTTCTGGAACTTTGAGAGATGGATTGGGACCAAGGCAGACCCTTAGAAATAGAAGGGTGATTTGGAGAATTTCTGATCTGTTAAGTTAAGCCTCAAATTGATTGGTGTGGTGGTGACTGATGTGGTGGAGGTTCACTTAGTCATTTAATCATTTATTCATCAGTCGTTTATTGACTGCCTACCATATCGTAGATGCTGTGCTAGAGGTTGGGGCTACAAATGTGAATAAAACATGTCCCTGCACTCATGGATCTCTTGTACTACTGGAGCAGTGCAAGAAAGAATACTTTCTATTTTGCTCTCTCTCTCAAAAAAAAATTCACTCTTATCAAGTTAGTGACCTACTAGTTTTGTGACCCCAAAATCATTGCTGTTTATTTGCCTTGATATTTCTAAGGAATGCAGAAAGTTAGGATCTGATCATGCCACTAAACAAGCTGTGTCCTGGGGTCGCAAGAGGTGTGAGGAGAAGCTATCTGAGAGTCACCCTTAGACTTGACATTGTTTAGGGGAGATGTTTCTGAAGAGACAGTCACCTGAGTCACCCGTTACCTTTGAGAATTCTACTTTTGGCCTTCCCCAAAAGGCAGGGGAGAGGTGGCTGTGGTAGGGCAGGTGTGTACCTGGTGATTTTATGAACCAGTCCTCTGTAAACCTGTCTGATGTGGCAGAATTTGGTTAGAGATTGTCCTTCACTCCCTTATTGCTTCCTCAGTGGGGCTGCTAACTTCGGGGGATATGCATTGTGCCAGGCTGTCAGGTCAGGGACAAAGTCAAGTCTGAAAGAAGAGATCTTTTTCAGGTGAACTCATTTGGCAGTCATTTGTCCTGAGTGGAGAAAAGCATGTTTCCTAGGTTCATGAAGTTAGCGGACAAAGATTGGCTTTTGTTTTGAACTTTGGGGATCTCCATTCTGCTTTATGAATAGCTTATTGTTTTATTTTGAGAGCAGTTTTAACTATCAGTTTGCTCCTCCCCTTTCCTCAGCTAGTATCAGAATACTAGTCAACTGTGAAGTTATTCAGTGTATAGTATTCATTCATTCATTTATTCAGAAAATATTTACTGAGAGCCTGTGTGCCAGGCACTGTGTCAAGTGCCACGTGATACATGCTGGGGATACATTAGTGAACAAGACACACAAGCCTCCCACTTTCAGGAAATTTACGTATTAGAGGAGGAGGCTAGACAGTGACTACTTAAAATAATTTCAAGGTATATCAAGTGCCAGGAAGGAAATAAACAAGGTGCTGTGTTAGAGAATAATGCAGGTGGGCAGTTCTTCAGAGAGGTATTCTGCTGCTTCCTTCCATTGGTTTGGCTAAGCAAGCTGATGGGTAGAAATGTAAATACTCTAGAAAGCTAGAGGAAAAGCATTATTCTGAGTGGTATTATGGTTTTGTGGTTAATGTAGTAGTTAAGAAATTAATGAGCAGTTAGGAAACTAGATGTTACTCTTTGTAATAAGTTCAATAGAAATGAATGAGCTTTCTCCATCTGGTTAGGAAGCTGCTAAAATTGGATCATCCTATTGCAGTGTAATTTGAGCCTTATGTGTTTCTTTTCCTCAGGTGGAGGCCTGACTTTTGATCTATGTCCTCCCTACATCAGCTGTGTGAAAGTACTTAATGATCACATGACCCTGGACATGGATGCTGTCCTGTCGGATTTTGTCCGTTCCACAGGGGCAGAGCCAGGACTGGCCCGAGATCTCCTGGAAGGTAAGGAGTCTCTGGGGGAGATTGAGAAGAGAGAAAGTAAAATGTGATATTTATTGTTAGGAAGACTTAGAAGATTTAAGGTGACCAGAAAGATTCTGTAGGGGCCGGCTCCGTGCCTGAGTGGTTAAGTTTGTGCGCTCCGCTGCGGTGGCCCAGGGTTCGGATCCTGGGCGTGGACATGGCACCGCTCATCAGGCCACGTTGAGGCGGCATCCCACATCCCACAACTAGAAGGACCTGCAACTAAGATATACAACTGTGTGCAGGGGGGGTTTGGGGAGATAAAGCAGAAAAAATAAATAAATAAATTAATTAATTAAAAAAAAAAGAAAGACTCTGTATATGGTAAGCCTTACGTTTAAGTTACTTCTAATAATCTACTTTGTGTATGACCCACCATAATTTTAAAATGCAAAATCCTCTTTTCACCTGAATTTTTGGGGTAGCTTTCTCCACTGTCAATTTATGCTTAGGTAATGCAAGTGAAATTTTATATTAGTCCACTAAAAGCATAATTCTGGATCAGTAAGACTTCCGCTTTGTACATAAATGACTTTTGGATTTTCATATTTGAGATCATCCATGGTTTTGTTTCTTTCCTTCCCTAATTTGTATGGGTAATTCTTTTTTTTTTTTTTTTTGAAGATTGGCACCTGAGCTAACAACTGTTGCCAATCCTTTTTTTTCCTTTGCTTTTTCTCCCCAAAGCCCCCCAGTACATAGTTGTATATGGTAGTTGTGGGTCCTTCTAGTTGTGGCATGTAGGATGCCGCCTCAGTGTGGCTTGATGAGTGGTGCCATGTCTGCACCCAGGATCGGAACTGGCGAAACTCTGGGCCGCTGAAGTGGAGTGTGCGAACTTAACCACTGGGTCACGGGGCCGGCCCCTTGTATGGGTAATTCTATGTAGAGTGAACTAATTTAATGTTTTCATTTTGCTGCTTTTGTTTACTTATATCTGTATATACACATAAGTGTAAATGTTCTAGATTTTTAAGGTCTTTAAGGCTTGGAATCATGTCAGTAGGATTCTTTGTTTGGAGTCATAATTAACAGATGCTTTTTGATGATGAAAATATATACTCATGCAAATGGATAAGCCTGTGGGAGAAGGGGCAAGTTCTTAGATATGCAGGTAATTTTTCAGATTGTCAGCCTTAGCAAGGTGTGACAATTTAACATTTGCTTAGCTACCTGTGGGAAGAGTGTTAGTTTGGAGATGGAAGATCAGGGTTTAAAATTTCGGCTTGCTAATTCAGTAAGATTTTGCCCTTATCTTGAATTTTCAGTTTAATCTCCTACTACATTCTCCTACACTCCCTGTGCTCTAGCCAGGCCCAACTTGTCACCTTTCCCTGATCATGTTAAGTTGTTTCCTGCAGTGTCCTTTCCTCCATTATTCTCCTGAAATTCTCGTCATTCAAGTTCAGCTCAAATGCCTCCTCTTCCTCTTGTAGCATGTGTTGAACACCTGTATGTGTTCAGTATATCTGAGGCACTTGAGATGTATTATTTTCCCAGCCACTCTGCAGGTTTTATTATCGCAGCATTATGATTTAAAAAGCTGAGGTTCAGAGAAGTTAAGTAGGATTCGAACCTAGGCAATCTAGTTTCAGAGTCTGGCTCTTAACAGTTATGTTACAAATTAATGCTTGTGCTCTCTCTTTCTCTGTCTCTTACACATGCACACATACATCCATGTGCACACATATTCATGATGTGAAAGAAAAGTTGAGGGTGCTATGGAAGTGTAAGAGAGAAAACTAATTTAGATATAAAGTGTAGAAAAAGGCCTTTCTGAGGGAGTGACATTTGAGCTGAACCGGAAGGATGCCTAGGAGTAGCAAGACAAAGGCATGTAGAAGAGAGTGCTTATATAGAAGAATAACTTACACAAGGACCCTAAGATGAAAGAGAGTTTGGCACATTGGAGAAACTAATAGTGAACGAGGTAGGAAGAGTGGTGCAAGAATTGTAGGAAGCTGGTTAGATAGGCAGGAAGCAGAATACAGGGACCGTTGTAGGTCATGGTAAAGAGTTCAAAATGTCATTCTGTGTTTGGTGGGAAGCTGGTGAAGGGTTTTAATCAGGGGAGTGACATGACTGGATTTGAGTTTTTAGTAGTGTAGTGGTTGAAGGGTAAGGAATGGATTGGAAGGTGACCGGAGAAGTGGTGAAAGCAGTCAAGAGTATTGCCACAGTGTAGGCAATAGTAGTAGGTGAGAGATAATGGTGACTGGGACGGGGATGCAGTAGCACAAGAAGTGGGTGGGTTTCAGATGTAATTTAGAAGGAGACTCAAAGGACCTGATCTGCATTTTCTCTCTGTCTCTGTCTTTCTATCTCTTGCTTTTTCCTTTAAAAGTTAACTCTGGTTGTAGTGTAAAGAACAAATGAGAGAGAGTAGAGATTAGGAGTAAAGAGACTAGAGAGCCCCCTCCCAAAAGACGAAAGACCAGGTAAAGATTATGAGGACAGTGAATTGGGGCAGTGACAATAAAAATGGACAAGAAAGAATAGATTGGAGAGTTGTTGTAGGCATACAAACAACTCTGAGGATTGACTAGATAGTGAGGAAGGAGGTGGCGTGGGATCTAAGGAATAACGAGGAGCTGAAGATGACTGAAGTTTCTGGCCTGGAGGGGTTGTGATGCCGTTACTGATTTAGGGGATACAGAAGGAGGGGGAAAAGCAAGTTTTAGGAGGGAAGGTGATGGACATTTGGTTTGGGACATGTTGACTGTTAGGAGGATCTGATGTTAAGGAGTTTTGCAGACAGTTGTAAATACAGACCCAGTGCTCAAGACATGTCATTTACTCATTCATTTATTCAGGACAGAAGTCCTCTCTTCTTCAACAAATATTTATTGAGGACCTATTGTGTGCCAGCTTCTGGATGCTTGAACAAAACAAACAAAAATCTCTGCCCTTGTGTTCTAGCAGGAGAGATAGTCAATAAACAATAAACACAATAACCAAGTAAGGTATATTATAAGGTGTTATGTGCTATGGAAAATGGTAGGGTGAATGATGAGGTAGGTTGCGACTTTCAATTGGATAGTAAGGGTAGGCCTTATTAAGAATGTGACATTTGAGCAAATACCTGAAGGAGATGAGGAATTGTCTGTGTAGGTATATTGGGGAAAGAGCCTTCCAGGCAGTGGGCATAGTTCATGGAAAGGCTGTAGGTGGGAGCGGTCTTAGTTTATTCTAGGAATAGCAAAGAGGCTGGTTTGACTGAAGCAGAGTGAGCAAAGGGTGTTGGAACAAATGGTGACTGTAATGATTCAGAAGTAACTTCGTCAGGCATGGATGATTAATATAGCTTAACTGGAGAATTATAACAATAATAAGAAATATAACAGCAACTGCAACAAATACATATATAATGCTTTCTGTGTACCAAGCACTGTTCTAAGTGCTTTCAATTCATTTAATCTTCATAACAACACTATATGGTATCATCTCTACTTTCGTAACCAGGGAAACTGAAGCACAGAGAAAAGGCTAGAAAAGTAGGCCAGGTCATAGAAAGCCTTGAATGTCAGACAAAGGAGCTTAGGCTTTATTCCGTAGGCAATGGTAAATCATTAAAGATTTTGATCATGGAACTGATATGATCAGAACTGTGCTTTAGAAAGGTTAGTCTCATGGGATTCTTAGAGTGGGTTGGAGGGGGGATGCTAGGTGATAAGAATTGAATTAAGGTGGTGGCAGATGATAGAACAGAAAGAAGTATGAACAATTATGCAGTATGTTATTTATCCAGTAATTTAACTGGAGAAAGCAACAAAAAAAAATCCATTATGACAAGTCTATTATTTAGGGCCTTGTCTTCAGTAGAGTAGTGATTCTTAAATTTTGGGGTAGTTAACAATTCTCTTTGGGTCTGGCCCTGTGGCCGAGTGGTTAAGTTCGCGTGCTCTGCTTTGGTGGCCCAGGATTTCACCAGTTTGGATCCTGGGCGCAGACCTAGCACCGCTCATCAAGCTATGCTGAGGCAGCATCCCACATAGCACAGCCAGAAGGACCTACAACTAGAATATACAACTATGTCCTGGGGGGCTTTGGGGAGAAGAAAAAAAAAAAAGAGGAAGATTGGCAACAGATGTTAGCTCAGGGCCAATCTTTAAAGAAAAAACAAAGTTTAAAAAAACAATTCCGTTTGATAATCTGATGACAGCTCTCAGCTCTTTCTTTAGAAAAATGCATATACCTATAACTTTATATACAATTTCAGGTGGTTTAGGACACCGTAGAGCACTTCTAGGCTAAGAACTCTCTGGATCTCAGAGTTTGGAGACCTGGGCTTGAGTCCTGCTGGGCCCTGGTGACTTTAGGCAAGACACTCTGCCTCTTTAGGCTTCATTTCCTTTATCTGTAAATGAGGTTACTAGGTCTCAAAGGGCCCTTTCAGTTCAGAGAGACAAACTTCCTCTGCTCATGGAGCTTACTTAGGAAGTAGACCATAAGTAAAGAAAAGAAATTGTGATATCTTAGATTGAAGTGTTGTGAAGAAAATTAAAGCAAGGTGTGGCTAAGGGAAATGACTGAAGTGCGTGAGTATACGCTGGCTAGTTTTGATAGGATGGTTAGAGTGTTCGTTCTGTTTTTTCTCAGTTCCCCTGTACTCTGAGTGCCCAATTCACTTTTTGCTTTGTCTCCTGACAGGAAAGAATTGGGACGTGAGTGCCGCCCTCAGTGATTTTGAACAGCTACGTCAAGTCCATGCTGGGAACCTGCCCCTGCCCTTTAGTGAACGGAGTGGTGGCTCCAGGACCCCTGAGAAAGGGTTTTCTGATAGAGAGTCTACTCGCCTTCCCCGACCCACCCTACAGCGGCAGGATGACATCGTTCAAGGTAGTTGGGTAACTGAGGGGTGTTTCTGTTTACAGAGTAGAAAGGAAGGGAGGGGACTGCTAAGTGGAGTCAGAGAGTTTAGTGATCCCTTGAAGATGATTCCATTCCTCCCCCTTCTCCCTAGCCAAACTGATCAGAGGTGGCCTCAGTCTGTCCAGTTGCTGAGCCCCTTACTGTCTCTCTGCACCTTGAGTGTTATCCTGTATAAAGGCCTTCTTTAGATACTGTGAAAGAAATGGAGGGAGGAGGAGAACAATCTAATTGTTGGGATGTGGTACACATAAAGATAGAATTCAAAGGATCACTACCATCTGCCTCATGGGAGGGCATTTTGTTAATATTTGTCAGTATCTATCAAAATTTAAAAATGCTTATATACTCCGAAACAGCACTTTCATTTCTAGGAATTTATCATCTATGTGTATGTGCATGTGCGTGTATATATACATATATCCTTTAAATAAATACATACACACATGCATAAATAGACATACACATATGTAGTGTAAAGCTTGAAAGTTAAAGCTTGAAAATAACTCTTAATGTCCTTTAGCAGAGGAGTGGTTAAATAAATTGTAATCGTCCATATTGTGGAATACTCTGCAGCCGTTAGAATTAGGTAGAATTTGACGTGCTATATTGGAAGAATCTCTAAAATCTATTGAGAAAGGTAAGTGTATATAGTATGCTTCTGTTTATATTTTTAAAAATGATTTTAAAGGCTATATGTGCTTCTAGAAGGATGCAAAAGGTTGCCTCTGGGGAAGGGGTCAGGAATTTTGAATGAGAGAGATTTCTTTGTAACCTTTTATACAGTTTGATTTTTTACCATGGGCACATGGTACTTTTTAAATACCTAAAAACAGAGTTTAAAAAATGGCATCACTTGGGGCTGGCCCGGTGGCGCAGCGGTTAAGTGCACATGTTCCACTTTGGCGACCCTGGGTTTGCCAGTTTGGATCCCGGGTGCGGACATGGCACCGTTTGGCAAGCCATGCTGTGACAGGCATCCCACATATAAAGTAGAGGAAGATGGGCACAAATGTTAGCTCAAGGCCAGTGTTCCTCAGCAAAAAGAGGAGGATTGGCAGCAGATGTTAGCTCAGGGCTAATCTTCCTCAAAAAAAAAAAAGACGTCACTAAAATATAACTTCAGACAACTCTTGCCTTACTTTGTGCATCGTCTCTGGCAAATATTGGATTAAGAATTGCTACCCAATACGATTTTTAGCTCTTTGATTATCTTTATATAACTGAAGCCATGCAAATGAATTGTAATACTACACTGAGCACGTTATGGTCACCATTGTAACATCTGCTGGCGAATTTTAAGTGCCATGTATTCAAAACAAATGAAATAGTTTGAGTCACTATCTGTGTTACTGACTTTCTCTATAGCATGTTAAGTAAGAATTGATTGTACCTATAAATTTCTGATAAATATGAGTATCAAGAAAAGTTGTAATAAATAATATAAATTAATGTTATTGATGGTAGGTCAGAAAGTTCCTGAATGTGTAAGATTTGTGATTAATTTTCTATAATGGAAATCCTTTTCTACATTTCCAAGATCCTGAAAATTATCAAAGAGATTATTTGACTCAATCTAGCCAAATGAAACCCCATTCCCTGGTTCCCTCTTCCTCCCACCAATGACCAAGTTGCCAAATGGAATGGGTCCCTAGTATGTGGGGAAATGGAAGTGAAAGAAGACAGTCATAGGGAGAAGTTGTTCAGGTAAAATTCCAAAAAGGGTAGACAGAGGAATGTATATTTGGTGCTAGTGTGAATGCCTGGAAAAATGCCACTTTCTGTATTTCTCCAGTTGTGTTTGGCTTGAGAAAGAGGGTAGTGAAATTGGGTAGCCAGTTAGACTCTCAGTTTTTCCCTGACTGGAAACCTTGGCAAGAGGTAACCATCACCATCTGAGTGGAGAGTTCTCTGAGTGGGCTGAATATGTTCTAAGGTGACTCCATTTCTCATTGCAGAAAAACGCCTGTCTAGGGGCATCTCCCACGCCAGTTCCAGCATTGTTTCCCTGGCCCGGTCCCATGTCTCCTCCAATGGTGGGGGTGGGGGGAGCAGTGAGCACCCCCTGGAAATGCCCATCTGTGCCTTCCAGCTTCCAGATCTCACTGTGTACAATGAAGACTTCCGCAGCTTCATAGAGAGAGACCTCATTGAACAGTCCATGCTGGTCGCTTTGGAACAGGCAGGTCGGTGAACTCTTCCTCTCCTGTGCTTTTCCCTCTGCTCTCCACCTAGAGGCAGCCATATGGAGGGGCTGGGCTTGACCAGTTACTTCCAGTGTAAGTGTGTGATCTAATTGCAGTCACAGTCAGCATCAGTCAGATAAACCTGTCCTGAGCTAGGTGCTTCTTCAAGTTGAAGAAAGGACACAAATTAAACACTTTCCTCTGGAAATTTCCTGTTTGATGGAAGGGAAACCAGATATACACACAAAAAGCCTAGGAATCAATACCTAAAAATCAATGTATGAAAAAAATACAAGTGAATTATAATTGGCTCTAGAACACCCTTGTGAACTGAAAGAACCAGTGCCGTATGTGATGCATAGTAGCAATTAATCTAAAAGTCACATTTATTTATATGAACCTTTCTCAAAAGACTTATTTACCTATACAACTGTGTTTATCTTAAATTATTATTAGAATTAGTTAATATGATAGGTTGAGGCAGCTGGGAGTTCTGGAAAAGCTAGTCAGTTATTAAAAACTCCCATGGGGGGCCGGTCACTGTGGCAGAGTGGTTAAGTTCGGGCGTGCCACTTCAGTGGCCCAGGGTTTCACTGGTTTGGATCCTGGGTACGGACATGGCACCGCTCATCAGGCCATGCTGAGGTGGCGTCCCACATAAAATAGAGGAAGATGAGCATGGATGTTAGCTCAGGGCCAGTCTTCCTCAGCAAAAAGAGGAGGATTGGCAGCAGATGTTAACTCAGGGCTAATCTTCCTCAAAAAATAAAAAAAAAAGCAAGTTACCTGGCTAGTGAGATTATAGGCCAGTTTTATTTCTGTAGACTTTTCAGTAATTTAAGAAAACTTTTAAGCATCATTCATAAAATATTTTCCTCATAGGTATAATAGATTTGCAGTTGTGGGATGACTATACAGAATTGGGACTCATTTTCTCGGGTGTTTTATTTACTTTGTCATATTGCTGATGTCTTTAAAGTCACACTGCATACATGCTGACATGCTGACTGTCATATATGCAGATGAAACTTGCATGACACTTTAAATACATGCTTTGGGTTGTTTTTCCTTTACTGATGATAGATTTGTGCTGAGCTTTGTTGCTACAATATTTACCGGTCTCCTGACCAGAGTGAAGGAATCAGAGCCAGACCAAGCAGTCAACACAGATTTCAATCTATGACCTTGGCCTCATCATCTAACCCAGGATTGTTCAATCTTAGCACTACTGACATTTAGGACCTGATAATCTTTGTTGTGTGAGCTGCCTTGTGCATTATATTGTGTTTAGCAGCCTCCCTGGCTGCTCCCCGTTGGACACCAGTAGCATCCCTCATCAGTTGTGACAACCAAACATATTTCCAGACATTGCCAAATGTCCCCTTAAGAACCACTGATCTAACCGGTCGTGCTCACCAGATTCTGATCGATTAGATATAAATGAAGAAGATATAAAGAGTAATAGAATGATGGTTTTATTCTAGGTAGGCTTTCTAGAGGAGGCAAATTTGGAGTCTGTTTTAGAAATAGGGAAGTGGGAAAGGCTTTATGGATAATGTGCTCCTTTCCTCTTCCTCCTGTTTCTGTAGGGCGTTTGAACTGGTGGGTAAGTGTGGATCCCACCTGTCAGAGGTTGCTTCCTTTGGCAACAACTGGAGATGGAAACTGCCTCCTGCATGCAGCCTCTCTTGGTAAGTCTTGAAAGTGATCCTCCCTTCCCTTATATAAAGAAAGTGATAGAGTTAAATCTCTTACGTAGGACTTGATCCAACCAGCCTTGATCTTAGGCAGAAGTGACGGTTCAGAGCAAGGTTGTGTGTGTGTGTGTCAGCAGGAAGAGATGGAAGAGAGCCCTCCCGTGGTTTTTCAGTCTTGTTTAGAGATGGTATGGAGAACACAGGATTTAGCATGAGCCCCACACTGAGAGCTGACCCCCAGAAGTAATTAGCATCAGTAAGCAAGAAGTATATAACTGTATGTGTGTATATAAGTCTACTTAATATTTATTCTTTTGGTGTATAAAGAAAATATATTTCATCAGTCCTTTGTGAGACATGTTTGCTTTAAATTTTAAAGCCTATGTATAATTTAATATATTATTTGTCTTAGCTTTAAAAAAAGTCCCCATTTTCCAAATATCCCTCAAGCTTTGATGCTGATTGCCATGTGCCAGACCCATTTTATCTGCTGCTGTGCTATATTTTAGTTCGTTAGACTTGCATCACCAGGAAGGGCTTCCTGCCAGGAGTTTGTAGTATGTTGTATATTCCCCATGTTCAAGTTCTCAGTTTCTGAACTTTCGGAGTAGGAACATCTTTTCTTTCTTAAGAACCTTTCCCCTAAGTCACAGCAGGAGTTTCTTTGAACCTAGGCTTCCGCCTGATTTCCTTCATGCTGGAGTCTGTGTATCATAATTAACAAGTGGAGTTGAGTCAAGGTAAGGTTTCTTTCTGTTATGCTTTCTTGCCGTAGGGATGTGGGGTTTCCACGATCGGGACTTGATGCTGCGGAAAGCTTTGTATGCGCTCATGGAGAAGGGAGCCGAGAAAGAGGCATTAAAACGGCGCTGGAGGTGGCAGCAGACACAGCAGAATAAAGAGGTGAGGGGCCTTGGGTGGGAGCACCTTGTTTCCCAAAGTTACCTGGGGAAATGCCCAGTGCCTACCAGTAGGAAATGTCTCCAGATGCTTAGGTTGGTGTTACTCCTCCTGTAATCCTAGAAATTGTACAAAATGCAGATAACCCCACAGGATGAATGCCTTCTGATATAGTCATGAGAACTGGTGTGGGGAAGCAGAGACCTGTAGAGAAGGTATCTTAACATTGTGATTTTCACCTGATAGGTGCTCGAGAAAAGCCTTTAGTGGCAATCCTTTGCAAAATGAGATATCACAAGTCCATAGGATTTTTATTGTTTTGTTTCTTTGCTTAAAATAAGCCTAGACCAATTTTTAAGGACTTATGTTTTCAACCCTTGTAGAAATGTAAATGCTTAAAAAATGTTTTTGGCTGTATATACCATTTGTTTTTCATATGCTCACTTTGTTTGTTTAAAAATTTTAAAAGTATGCTTGTTAACTTGAGTTTGAATGGTACTTCTCAGGGGTTTAGTAAATGTTGAGGCTTCTTTTGTATAAGAAAGCAACAATGGACTGTTTGTACTTTCCATCCCCACAAGAGGGGTTGGGCAAACTATGGCCCATGGGCCAAATCCCACCAACTAGTTTTGTAAAAAAAAAAAAAAAAAAAAAGTTTTGTTGGAAACAGTCCCGCCCATTCATTTACGTGTGTATGTTTATGTAAGTGCTCTCCTGCTCCAGCAAGAGAATAGAGTAGTTCATATGGCCCCCAAAGCCTGAAAGATTTACTATCTCACCCTTTACAGAAAAAGTTTGCTGACTCTTTCTCTTTAATAATGACAATATATATTTACATAAAGATAATGGGTCTTCCTGTTTCTTTTTCCCCTGGTTCCCTCTCTGTCTTTTATGTTTAACCTCCTGCTCTTCGTGTATATCTATATTTTACCATGTATATGGCTAGATGTTTCTGGCATTAATATGAGACTATCTCTTCAGAAAGTTATCTTTTCTTTCCATGTTCTTTCTTTTCTCCTTTTATTGTTCTGTCATAACTGACCATAATGTAGAACTAAGGGTTTTTTTGTTTTAGTTATTAGAATTTTATGCCCTGAAGATTTAAAATATGTAAGTAGAATGTGTTATGTTTCTTTCTCAAAAACAAAAAATCTGGGGCTGCCCCATGCCGTAGTGGTTAAGTCTGGTGTGCTCCACTTCGGCAGCCTGGGTTTGTAGGTTTGGATCTCATGCATAGACCTACACCATTCATCAAGCCAAGCTGTGGCAGTGACCCACATACAAAATAGAGGAAGATTGGCACAGGTGTTAGCTCAGAGCAAATCTTCCTCACCAAACCAACAAACAAAAAAGAATCCAATTGTTAAAATTAGGATGATTTTAAGACCAGAATCCTATCTTTGATCAGCCTATCTACCCCAGAAGATTCCTGAGGGAAATAAATGCACAGGGGCAAGGCCAAGTAAAGAGCATTCTTTATTACCACCAAACCCCATGGCTCCCTGGTGAGCTGGGCTGGACCTTGTGGAGGGCTTCTTTTGCCTGATCTGGAGTCAGCCTAGAGTTTGACTTCCTCACTGCTGAATTCACACCATACCTGAACCTTAGATTTGCCCACTCCAGAGACAAAAAAAGGCCAAACCAGAGCATGCTAGCTATTAAGTAGAAGTAATAGTCAGACACTTGGTGTGCCCAATTCCAGCTATTAAGCTATTATAGTTATTATTTTTAAAGTGGGGTTAGATTATGATGGTATTTATCCAGGACAACCAAAAATACCCAAGTGCTATTTTTGGTCAGCCACTTATTTCCTCTCGAAGTCCCCAATGGAAATACATGCATAGAGAACAGTGGCTAGCGAAGGAGCAATCTTTTTACTCAGCACATTGAAAGTTCCATACTGAAAATGTGGCCTAGATAATTGTTTTAGCTCAGACCATTCATGGCATTATACCCCACCTTGGGAGTGGGAATGTAGGGAGAGGAGTGATGGACTGGGGAACTTCTTTTAGCCAGTATCAAACACCAAACAAACTAAATTAGTTTTGATTTCCTGGGCCTCCTTGTTTTGTGTTGAAATTGGTGGTAAAACCCAGTAAGAGCCTTTTCAGGCTAGAAGGGTACTCCACCTAGTGGCTGTGTATATAAAAACAGGAAGCAGAAATAGGTGAGAGGAAGAGGGAGACCGATCCTCCTGGATGTGTATTGGTGACCATTTATCAGAGTGAGCAGAGCACCTCATATATAACCTGTGCATTATTCTTTTAATTTTTAAGTGAAAAAAACTTGTGATAGCATTTTACAAACTGAAAATAGCTTTGTCGTTTTTTTATTATTAAAGTAAAATATGCTCACAACAGCTCTTTAATCCCTGTTAAATTTGTTCTTGATGCCCCTCATGTTTCCAGTGTGATTCTACTCTCTCAGTGTGTGTTTAAGCTGTATAAACTCATTTTAATACTAATGTAAGAAAATATAATTAATAAGGTAGACTTGTCTCCCAAATCATCATATAGATCCTGAAGCCAATATGATTTTTAAAAATTATTTGTACTGCTTCTCCCACTCCTTTGATAAAAATTGTAGTTTCACTCAGCATGTATTTATTGATTACTGATCACATAATAGACACTAGGCATACTGCGTAAAACAGTCCTTGGCCCAAAAGTAGTAGGAGGAGATGGATGTGTAAATACATAATTGCAACAAAGTAACAGTTGATGACTTCTATGCTAGAAGTCTGTATAGCAGTTTAGGATGGAAGGCACAAAGGAAGGAGTGGTCAATCTATCAGGGAGATTTAGGAAAGGCTTCATAGAGGAATGACACTTGCCTTCTCTCCTGACAGCTGAGAAATTGTTCACCAGCTGGATAGGGAATGGGCTGCTCCAGGCAAAAGGAACGACCCACACAAAAGCTGAGAAGTATAAAACAACATGGTGCATTCAAGGAACTCCAGCTAATTAAATGATATATCAGACTAGAGAGATGGGTAGCAGCTGGGAAGTGGACTTGGTATGCTATACTTAAGGAGTTTCAACTATATCTAATAGGCAATGACAGCTCTTAAAAGAATTTGTAGCAGGGAGCAAAAATCATCAGATTTTAATTTTAGAAAAATCTTTCTGGTACCCTTGTAGAAAATGGATCAGAAGAATGTATGACTGGAAGTAGAAAAACCAGTTAAGCATCCATAGCAATAGTTCATACTTAATAATTGTTGACTGAAGGGATCCAGGTATGGAGTGGGTGAAAGGAGAGGGTTCTTAGATAACTCCCTGGTTTCCATCTTGGGTGTGTGGATGATAGTGCTATTCCCTAAGGTAAGAATATAGGAAGAAGAGTGGGTTTTGGAAGAGATAGGAGTTCAGTTTTGACTGTATAGAGTTTGAGGTAGTCATGGGCAAGTGGCCATCTTCAATAAACAGCTGGATGTGAAGACAGAAATTAAGAGGAAGTCTGGGCTGGAGAGGGAGATTTTAGATTCCTGAGCATATACATGGCAGTAGATGAGTTTATGGGAGTGGAAGAAAGGAACCAAAGCTAAAATCATTGACATAACACCAATATTTCTGGAGTAGACAGAGTTCAGAGAGGTAGGAGAAAGTAGCATTGTATAAGTTAAAGGAGAAGAAAGTTTAAAGAGAAGATCAAATGCCAAATGAAGGGTAAGAAAGATGAGAACCAAAGAATCCACTGAATTTGGCAATTAGAAGGTCATTTTCCTTTGCCAAAGTCAGTTAGGTAAAGTGATATGTAGGGGATGAGGGGGGTAGGCTGGAGGGCAGAAACAAGCTAGATTGCAGTGGGTTGGCAAATGGATGAAAAAGAAGTGTGAGAGAGATTATAGACTGTTCTTCCATGAATCTTGACTATAAAAAGAAGAAATGTGACTTGTAGTACAAATTGTAAGATAAGTGCTAGGAGAATGGAGAGCAGGATAATGTGAGTGAGTTGGAATGGCTATTGCCTCTTGAACCTAGCCTCTAATTGCTTGATATCCCTCTCTGTCTTTCACACAGTCAGGGCTGGTATACACAGAGGATGAATGGCAGAAGGAATGGAATGAGCTGATCAAGCTTGCCTCAAGTGAACCTCGCATGCATCTAGGTACCAATGGAGCCAATTGTGGTGGGTAAGTATGGCTAAGTGGGGGAGCAGGAAATAATCTTCACTGAGTCCTCAGTGTCCAAAGAGCTCTGTGCTAAAAGAATGTTAGAAGGAAAGAGAGGAACCATGGTAAGGGCACAGAAGGGTGTAACAGGATGGTATGTTCTAGGACCTTCAGGTCAGTGTTGCTGGAATATAGAGGACGTGGTGCAGAATGATAGATAGATGAGGCTGGGCAACCCAGATTTTTGTGTGCCATGATAAGCTTTCTCTTGAACCATGCTAAGCAAGTAAAATTGTATACTATCCAGACTTTGGGAAACAGCAGGACAAATGATCCAGTTTCCTCAATAAATAAATTGCAAGGAAAATAAAAAGCGAGAGAGAACCTAAGTTTAAAGACAGTTAAAAGACGTTGGAATGGACATTTATAAGACAGTTGGGGAAATGTGAACAATGTCTACATGTTTGGTTATTGTTAACTTTTTTAAGTGTGATATTAATGGTATTGTGGTGGTTTTTAAAAGGAGACCTTTATTTTTTAGAGATAGAAACTGAAATATTTTTGGATGAAATGATATGATGTCCAGGATTTGCCTCAAAATAATCTGGTGAGGTAGGGTAGGGGCTGCTAGGGAAGTAGGTTGAGGTCTAGGTGCAACGAGATTGACCATGTGTTTATAATTGTTCAGGCTGGGTGGTGGATACATGAGAGTTTAGTATAATATTCTTTCCAGTTTTCAGTATGTTTAAAATTTTGAAATTTTCTGTAATAAAAAGTTAAAAATTATAACCTATCCAAACTTTATTGCGCATAAGAATAATCTGAGGCAATTGTTTAAAATTCAGATTTCTGGACCTCCACCCTAAGGCAGTCCAGTTGAGTTGGACTCAGGTAAGGCCCAGAAATCTGCATTTGTAGCAGGTATTCGATGTTGAATAACATTGTGTTAGGGGGCGGGAAGCCACTGAACTGTGAGTATCTGAGTGATGGGAGCAAATTCGCATATTTGAACCTGCTGACTGCAGAGTGGATGATGAAGTGGAGGGGAGAGAGACTAGAGGCACTTGTAGTAACCCAGGAAACAGGGCAATGGGTGTGAGCAAGACTGGTAGATTGTAGATGGGCCAGAGGAGATAGATAGAAGAGACACTTAAGAGATGGAATTGGTCAAGCCGGGTGATTAATTGAAGATCAGAGATAAAGAACAATAAGTATTTCACAGATTTCTGATTAGGTCACTAGGTAGATGGTGAGGCTGTTCTTCAAGTAAGGGAACATAGGAAGAGGAATTTTTTTTTGTAGGACATGATGTGTGTGATCTGTGAGTGGTCGTGGTGGGTAAAGTAAGCAGGATGAGGCTCCACAGTTGCGTATTGAGCTACTGGATAAAGAGAATTGGGAAAGGCTGCTGAGCAAGATGGGTACGAAGAGAGGGATTACCTCCAGATTCTTCACGCTACTTTAACCCTAGAGCCTTCAGATCTGCTTTCTCAGATTTCCCATCTGTGAAATGGAAGTAGAAACAGCCATGGTAGCATAAAATAATCAGCTATGTCCGTGGCAGCCTTAAGATTAGAAAACCAGAGAAGGATAGTCTCTTTTTCCTCTTTGCAGAACTGGACTTTAGAGGTCTCTTGTTTTGTTTCCTTCCCTTTCCCTTCCACTGAATCCCTTCTACTCTCTCCCCTCTTGCAACTCAAGGGTGGAGAGTTCAGAGGAGCCTGTGTATGAGAGCCTAGAAGAATTCCACGTCTTTGTCCTTGCCCATGTGCTTAGGAGGCCCATAGTCGTCGTGGCAGACACCATGCTGAGGGACTCCGGCGGGGAAGGTGAGTCAGTTAATCCTTACTCCATCCTGAGCACCCCCTATTTGCAGAGCCTTAGGCTAAGCACTGGGAGGAGGGCAGGGAAGGGAACATATAGACCCTTGGAAGAAAACAAGGTATAAATTAGAAAAATGCAAAATTCTCTAGAGATTCAGAGTAAAGCAGTTGGGGTTAATTCATGAGGCTTCTTAGGAAAGTACTATTAAACAGGGGTTGGAATGAAAGGGAAGACTCACTTGGCAGAGTAGAGTGGAGGGATTGCCCACTAGGCAAGAACATCGCCTTGGTAATAATCTTCACGGTTTCTTGCAGCATTCGCCCCTATTCCCTTTGGGGGAATCTATCTGCCCTTGGAGGTCCCAGCCAGCCAGTGTCACCGCTCCCCTCTGGTGCTTGCCTATGATCAGGCCCACTTTTCTGCACTTGTGTCCATGGAGCAGAAGGAGAATGCCAAGGACCAAGGTACTGAATGCAATGTCTGTGTCTCTGGTGTCTTTTGGTCTGCTTTATTTTCACTTGGAAAAACTGAAATGAGAGAGAATGTAAGAGGAAAGAATTAAGTGAGGTGCAAGCCCAGACAGCACATATTGATACTGTTTTACTAAACTATAAGATATACCAGAGTTTTAAAATTAAGGATTAAAAAAAAAAACAGGTTTTGGGGAAAAACACAGTAGCCTGTATTCCCTGCTCCCTGTTCTGGAGTAAAGAGTTTATGTATTAAGGTCATAACGTTCCAAATGACCCCTTGCTGTGTCTTAATGATTTTGAATTCCCTGAATCCACATTCACTGGCAAGAACATTATGAGTGTTAGTTGACTGACTGGTGAGGAGTCGTGGAGATTAGTGGCCTAAATTGAGTGCTGGATATTAAGGGAAAACCAGTCCGTTAGTTTTTAATGCTAGGGTAATTCACATGTAAGAATTGAGAAGTGGCTACAGTTAAAGATCTGTGGTATGATTCAGCCTCCTTTTTAGTGAAGTCAGCCTGTGTTCAGTTGCTTTCCTCTCTCCTCAAGGAGACTCTTTGATGACATGTTTTTTTCCTCTTCAGCTGTGATCCCACTTACAGATTCAGAGCATAAGCTGCTGCCCTTGCACTTTGCTGTGGACCCTGGAAAGGGCTGGGAATGGGGCAAAGATGACAGTGACAATGTCCGACTGGCCAGGTGAGGCAGACCTAGCCTTTCCATCTGCTTTGTAGCTGCAGTCTCTTCCACATATGGCATCTGTCTCCCAGGGACTTTTCCTCAGCTCTGAAGCAAGACTGTCATGCCCTAGCTTTAGTGTCTTTGGGAAGATGGACTTGTTCTTTCTTTATAATATGAAGAGTGTTCTTTTTTTTTTTTTGCTTTTTATTAAGATTATGATAGTTTACAACCTTGTGAAATTTCAGTTGTACATTATTGTTAGTCATGTTGTAGGTGCACCACTTCACCCTTTGTGCCCACCCCCCAGCCCCCCTTTCCCCTGGTAACCACCAATCAGTTCATGAAGAGTGTTCTCTCACTGATATGTCCCAGAATCCCAAAACAGTGATCAGAAAATCAAGATAATCAAATCACACCTCTGCAGCTCAAGTGAGACGGGTTTTAAATAGTTGACCAAAATAGTTTGCTCTGGGTTTTTGCCTTTCTGGAATTTAAATAGCAAGAAAAATACATTCTCTCCCAACACACACCCCTCCTCCCAGAAGCTGGAGCCCAGAGGCTCCCTGCCTCTGTGTACAGCGTCCTGTGAAGGGTCTGTGAATGTAAAAGCTCCTCCCTTACCTCTTACCCAGTGCTTCCTTCCGTGGGCTCCTGAAACTGGGATCCAACTGAAAGGGATGATTTAAAAACCAAGAGTTTATGGCTTTTAAAAAAGTTCTCACCTAATTATCAAAAGCTCCTTTTAAATAGTATTTACAACAGCAACAAGAATAATGGCTGTGTTTAGTAGGTATTTCCTATTTTCCAGACACTGTGCTGGGCCCTTTCCAAATACTATTTTAATCTTCACAACAACCCCACAGGATTGATATTATTATGTATCCCCATTATCAACCCCAGCTGAGTCTTAGAGGTTGAAGTGACTTGCTGAAGGTCACAAAGCTTTAGTATTTGGGAGAGCTGTAATTCAAACCCAACTCTGTCTGAGTCCCAAGCCATGTAGTCCTCACCCATCCTACCTCTCAGTTGGATCATACTGTTTTGCTTTTGAAAGGTCGTTGTATGTTTTTAATTCTTTTTTTCTCCTTTTCACAGTGTAATCCTGTCCCTAGAGGTCAAGTTGCATTTGCTTCATGGCTACATGAATGTGAAGTGGGTCCCGGTGTCCTCTGATGCGCAGGTGAGGACTTCTCCCACCCCACCGTGCACTTCCTCATTTTCAGTGACAGGGAGAACAAGGGCATGTGGTGGTAGTCTCCTTCTGAATCTCTTCTGAGTGGTGGCTTATGGTTCAAGGTTAGGAATAATGGGAAAATATCAGATAAGTTCCAAAAGACACGTTTTCCTGCCTTTCTGCCTGTCAGTGCCCTCTATTTTCCACATCTCCTCTCCAACCAAGCTCTGATTTCTGATTTCTGTGTTCTAAAACACATTCTTCAAGAAAAGTTTTCTGGACTTTTTGGTGAACTTGAGATTGTCATTACTTTTTCCCAAGCCCTCTATACATAGACCTCTGTATCAGGCACCAGATGAGACAGAGTAGCTTAAACAACTCCTGATCCAGGAGGTTCTGAGGACATCATTATTATCCATAGATCAGGAACACAGGTGCCAGGGCACATGGATGGACTCCAGGGCTGAATGTCTATAAGTTGAGGGGATATAGAATGGTTAGACTTCGTTGGTTGTGGTTAGTCAAGACTTCCTTGCGGTTAATTTTGGGCAGAATTTGGCATAGAGAAATTTATAATAAAGGACATTCCAGTGTGTATAGAATATTCTCCCTCCTCACCCAGAAGCCATGTATTATATAGTTGCTTATTGCTCTGGAAGAACAGTCAGGCTTCATTTTGATATCTTCTTACTACAGAAGGGAGTCAAATTGCAGGGGATGAGATAAAAGTTAGATATTAGATGCATCTTTCCCTGGCCCATGGGAGAGCCGACTGGGGCCGGGGAAGGACAATGCCTTCCTGGGTGACCCTTCCCCCATCATGACAGCCGCCTTTCTCTGGAACTTGGCAGTCACTCCAAGGAGGAAGTTTGCAGGCGTGTTACCATCCCTCTTCCACATGGCTAATTCCTATAGCAATGGCTGCAGGGAACCCTGGGAGCCAGATGGATGGCCTAGACGTCCCTGGGGGCTTCCCTTAACCCAGGCCAATGGAGTAACTGTCAACACTGTTCTTGTCTCTTTCAGGCTCCCCTGGCCCAGCCTGAGTCCCCCACAGCCTCAGCTGGAGATGAGCCCCGGTCTACTCCTGAGTCTGGGGAATCAGACAAGGAGTCAGTTGGCAGCAGTTCTACCAGCAATGAGGGCAGCAAGCGGAAAGAGAAGTCAAAACGAGATCGGGAAAAGGACAAGAAGAGAGCAGATTCCGTGGCTAACAAATTGGGCAGCTTTGGCAAAACCTTGGGCAGCAAGCTCAAGAAGAACATGGGAGGCCTGATGCACAGCAAGGGTTCTAAGACTGCAGGGATGGGAACGGGGTCGGGGGTAAGCAGTGGCACAGAGACACTGGAGAAGAAGAAGAAAAACTCGCTGAAGAGCTGGAAGGGTGGCAAAGAGGAGGCAGCTGGGGACAGGCCTGTATCTGAGAAGCCCACATCTGAGTCTGCTGGTAATGGAGGGAGCAAGTATAGCCAGGAGGTGATGCAAAGCCTGAGCATTATGAGGATTGCGATGCAAGGGGAGGGGAAGTTTATTTTTGTTGGAACCCTGAAGATGGGTCACCGTCACCAATATCAGGAGGAGATGATCCAGCGCTACCTTTCTGATGCTGAGGAGAGATTCCTGGCAGAGCAGAAGCAGAAGGAGGCAGAGAGGAAGATCATGAATGGAGGGGTAGGGAGTGGGCCTCCTCCAGCCAAAAAGCCAGAGCCAGATGGCGGGGAGGAGCTGCTGACTGCCCCCCAGGCAGAGTCCAAGGCAATGGCGTTCTCTCCTGGCTACTCTGGGGGCTTTACTATCCCTCGGCCTTCTGGGGGTGGAGTCCACTGCCAGGAACCGCGGAGGCAGTTGGCAGGGGGTCCATGTGGGGGGGGCCTACCACCATATGCCACCTTCCCCAGACAATGCCCTCCTGGGCGACCCTACCCCCATCAGGACAGCATCCCTTCTCTGGAGCCAGGCAGTCACTCTAAGGATGGAGTTCACAGGGGTGCATTGCTACCAGCTGCTTTCCGCGTGGCTGATTCCTATAGCAACGGCTACAGAGAGCCCCCTGAGCCAGATGGATGGGCTGGAGGTCCCCGGGGGCTTCCCCCAACCCAGACCAAATGCAAACAGCCGAACTGCAGCTTCTATGGACACCCTGAGACAAACAACTTCTGTTCCTGCTGTTACAGGGAAGAACTGAGGAGGAGGGAACGTGAACCCGGTGGGGAGTTGCTGGTGCACAGGTTCTGAATGAGGGAACCTTGGAGGGCAAGGGGACTAAACAAAGAAAGTTAAGCTCAACTAATTGGCTCATCAAGACCCAGCCCCCATGTTGATGGGGCAAATGCAGTAATGTTTATGGGAGCCTGGCTAGAAACTTTTAAGTGTGTGTGTGCTGGAGAGCCGCCAGGCTGGCAAGAGCAGGTCAGGGCTGGACAGTGCCTCGTGGGCTGTACTAGTCCTTTGCCGATCTTGACTTGATGGGACTGAGGAGGTACAAGGGGGGAAAGATGGTGATTCTGTCTCATAACCCCTTGGGTCCATCCCAGGACCTAAGGGAAAGTAGTAGGGGAAGGTTTGGTGTGTGGGGGCGGGGAGGTGGGCAGAAGTCTGGAGGAGGAATGGACAAAGGAAGTAATCAGTCAATAAAAGAAAAAGCAGACCAAAGTTCTTTTAGGTTGGAAAAAAGCACATGGTGGTTGGAGTCAGCAGTGTGGAGAGAAACTGCAAAAATAGACAAATTTGCTGTTGATTTGAATTTAGAAATTGAGGTTGGATAAATTCTTCCTCCTGAAGGATCTGGAAAGACAAGGCAGTAATGTGTGCTCATGGGTGCTTATTAGGAGGGGGTAGTTTAAATCGGTTTGAGATGAGAAAGGGAGGAACTTAAGAGGGGAATCTTTTTCCTCTTAAGTTGTATTTTCTTGAAACAGCTGTCTGTCATCTGTTCTAGTTCAAGAGGAGATTGCCGATTGCCCCCTATCTTGCCCTTATCCTTTTTGAGGTCTGAGCTCAGCTAAGTGAAGAAGGTTGTGATTTTTTTTGACTTTAACTTTATGAAAAAAAAGTTGCCTCTGGGGAAGGGAAGAGAGTGATGAGAAGATCAGCGGTGTGTGTTGGATTTTCTCCAGGTGGGTTCACACAGGGGTGATCGTTTTTAACTATTTAGCAATAACCACACATTGGGGTTCAGGTGCCACTTGGGAGGGGTGGGAGGAGGACCGACCTTTGGCCAGACTGTTTCAAACAAAACCAAAAACCTAAAGAGAGCACTACCGTCTTCTGCTGCTGCATTTCTGTAGAAAGCAAATTATTTGACTGGTTTTTTTTGTTTTTTTTTTTTAACGGAAAAGAAACAAACAAAAAGACCCCAGCGAGCAAAAGCATTTTTAAAAATGATTTCTTTTTTTCCTATTTAAATGATTCTTTCTCCTTCCTCTCTACTTTTGGAGAATGAACGTAACATCCCGGCTTCTTTTGTTAAGCCATAGCTGACCTTAATCTGTGGTTAGTTTATTAAAATAATAAAAAAAATTTGTAAGAAGAGATATTTTTGATAATAGGACTGATGTTGAAACATGGGGTAGGGGTTGGGGCAATTTATAAAAAGGTAGTTAGAGAAATATATTTTAGTGAACTATAACCACAGATCACAGATTACTCCCAATGAGTTAATCTGTCTAGGTTTTCCCCTTTCCCTGACTCAACCCTTTCCCCCAGGGGGTGGGAGTGGGCCTGTGGACACAGTAGGGGAAGCTCCTTTGCATTTTGCACAAAGCACAAGTCTGGACAGCCTACGCTCTGGCCAGCACCATTTCTAAGAGCTTTAAACCGGAGGACCTATCCTGGGCCAATTTTCCTTTTTCTTTCTTTTTTTTTTTTTCTGGGAAAAAAATCAACTATGCAATTGTATACACTCCTGGGTGCATATGAAGAAGGGGAATAAGTGTACTTAAGTGTCCAGAGTGTTACTTGGGGCTATTTTTCTGTATTTGGATTTCTCTTTTGAGATATGTACTCATAACCCATCCCGTGGAATGTAATCCCCACATTTGATCTAAGGCAGACATGGGCTGGGTGTGTGTGCTGGGGGCCTCGTATTTGCTTCTGCCCAGTCAGGAAAGTTGTCATCCCATATTCCCCGTGGTAATAAAGCCAGCCAAGATTATCCTCTTATTGGAACTGCTCAGAGTTTAGAAAGGTTCTTTTCTCCTCAACAAACTTAAAAGTCACTTATTTTCCAAATCTGATAGTCTGTTAATCTAATCATTTCCTGTGGCTATTAATTCTTAAGCTTTTATCTGAAAATAAACTGGTTTCAAGGAAGCAATGAGGTCAAAGGAGGAAATGTATGTATTTCTGGACTGGGACTAGTATGAGAAGAGCACTCCCCTCAGGTACAAAACTTGAGAGAGTACCAAAAAACTCAATAATCAAGATAAATACTGTTTTAATGCGGTATTTAAAAAAATCAATGCAAAAAATCTATGATGAACAAAATATCAAAATCTTAAAGACAGCATCCAACAGGACTGGGATTAGGGTGAGGGAAGTAAGGCTGAATGGAGCAAGTGTGGGATTGAATCCTGTCTTTAAAGCTTTGATACACTTTGTGGATTTTGGTTTTCAAAAATAGTGCATTAAAATAGTATCTTGGTTATTGAGTTTGGGGGCACCGCTTAACTTTTGTGTCCCAAGTGTGAGTGCCTTGCTCACCTCACCCTGTTTCTGGGGTTAGAACAACGCTGGCGAGATCTCCACCTCGTGAACTTCCATCCCTAACAGGCACCCAAACAGTGGGTGGCTCAAGCTCGCTCCTTGAATGTGCACAGTTCGCCCGTCTTTCCCTTTGGCATCCATCGAATCGACATCATAGGATTCTGCCTGGACCAATAGGAATGGAAACAGACCAGGGGTTTTCCGAGTATAAAACCAGGAAAGTTTTGATTCTCTGCTGGACTGCTGTGTTTGGATTTGATCTGTTACTAGATTCTAGTTAATACTTTGGTGTTTAAAAACTGAGGACAAATGGACAAAAACAGAAACCTTGTGTCATGTTTGTTTTTGTTTTGATTTATAAATTAACTAATCCCAGTTCCTTTTGACCTCTTTTCAAATAAAAAAGGTGGAAATTCTGGAAGGTGGCCTAGGGGTGAGTGAGTATGGTAAAATAGGGCTTTATTTAGGCCCTGTAGCTTTTTATTAAGAAATAAATTAACATTTTTTTAAAATTTGAGAAGGTAACTATTTATTGAGGTATTAAAAAACCTCTCCATTCTAAGGGTGAGGGCCCCTAAGTCAATGGGTGTTTTTCTATGGGGATGAGTAAAGTTTGTGTTGCTTTATTGTTTGAAGGAGTTGTGTAGGAAGAGGGGTGAAGGGATAATCCCTGGGAAATGAAAACAGACTCGGGTTGGTTTGTGGTATTTTGGGAAGATGAGGGGTTAGAAGAGGCAAGCCCATGCAATTACTGTGTTGGGGAGAAGGGAGGAGGAGGGTACATGGCATGCAGTCAAAATGAGCAAAAATGCCTTGGTTAAGGAGGGGTCTGTGGGTGAAGGGGGAGGCAGACCCTGTAACCCTAGATGAGGGATGATATGATCTCTCAAGGCTTAAATAAGTGCACTTAGTTCCTTTAATCCAGGGCATGGGGATACTTACTGAGGTTATTATTGGAGAGGGGAGATTTTCAGGATTCTTATTTTTCCCCTTTAAGACAGTGCTACCCCTCCACCCTACATTCTCCACCCCAGCCCTGATGGAGCAGGTATACTGTAGGATAGGCCTCCAAATTCCTCCCTTCATCTATGCTGGTTTTATTGAGAGTTATAAGATTTAACCAAAAGTTTTTCCCTCTTACTGGATTCTATCAACAAAATAAAAAGATTATATCAAACAGGTTTTTTTTTTTTTTTTTTTTAAGATTCAGTCTCTTTATGGCATGGGGATAGTGTTAAACTCAGTGCTGCACAGGGCCTGGAGGGAAGTGCCCTCCCTTTCCTGTTGGCTCAAGTTCTTCAAGGGAAACTAAAGCTCACAGACCAATAAAACAAACAAAATTAGCAATGACTTTGTATTGTATATTTGGGATGTGATACTGAGCTGGAAAGAATGGAGCTGGTTCTGAAGGACTTCTGAGAACCTAGCTTTTGCCATTCTTTTTAGTCCTTTCTAAACAGCCACATATCCAAAGTTCCAGTCACGTTTTTTCTTTCCCCATAAAGGGGCTTCAGAGATGAAGCCCTCTAGACTCTGTCCTCTTCTTTCTCCAAGGAGTCAGTGTCCCAGACACACAGCCACAGGTGGGAAGACAGAATTAGAAGCCCCTGCCTGGCCTGGAATCACCTGTACCCCAGATTTTTCTAATTTCCTTTTCCCTCCAGGCCCTGCAACTGCAGATTCAATGAGTCATACAGACACTCGGTCTCTCTCACTTTGTGGATACCCAGTCTACAAATCACAGGGTGTTTTGCCCCCCGTACTTAAACTGATTAACGAAATATTTATTATGATGTCCCCATGTAGACTTTCTCCATGCCACCTCCCTTCACTGGCCATGTGGGTAAAGGGGTGGTAGAAAAAGGAAGGGAAGCTGGCTGACAGTAGCGCTGAGAGGATTGGGGGTGGGGAGGACCTTGGCCTCTTTCTGTGCTTATAACTGGATCTGTGACTCATCTGGTGACTCACTCAGCTCCACCTCCCTCCTCCAGCTGCCCCTCCCGGCAGCCTTCTCTCCTCACACAAACCTGCAACCAGACCAGGATTCTGAAAATGGAAAAGTCTGATACAGCCCCTTGTCTCTCTACCCTTCCTTTCATCCACTAACCCTCCACTGGATGTGTGTGGGGTGGTGAGAGTGGTTCTCCTGTTACTTAACCCTCAGCTGCTGCCCCCTTTGCATTCCTGGTTGGATGCTGATCCAAGTCACCCATTTTTTTTTCTGTCCCTGACTTTTCCCCCATTCCCTTGATGTTTTTTCTCTTTATTCCTCTGCTGCTCCTACATCTCAAAGTATTAAAGAATAGAATGAGGCTCTTAAATGAAGGAGGGTGAGGAAAAGAAAAGTGGATAATGAGATTTTAAAATTGTGGTACACACCTCTTCCCATTGCAACAGACCTTGGGACGTATTGTCTTCCCCCAAGAGAATGAGGCCCGTGTAATGTAGGTGGGAGTCGGGGTGCTTGGTAGCTTTTAGGACTTCTAGAATCAGGCTTCAGGGCCACCTTCCTAGCAGGTGTATGTCTCTTTGTTCCAGATAGACTTCCTGTCTCACAACACCTTCACTATTTCCACAGTTGCAGCCAAGACAGGGAACCAGTAAAGCTGAGGCCGGAAGGGTGTGTACGCTGAGGGGAGGAGAGAGTTGAATGTCACTGTGCAAAACTGAGGCCCCCACCTAAGGATTGCTGCCTCTGTACAGACTCAAAATCAATAAAACAGCAGCTCAATAACTCTTACTTTGTATTTGATTTCCTGTCTTTTTCATATCTAAAAGTAGATTTTCGAATTCCTACCCCCAGTCACCATCAGCCACAGTTCCTTTACTTCCTTTCTGTGCCTTCCCCACCATCTTCGCTTGTTGAGTTGCAGGAGGGAGGGTGGGGGATGGGGTTGTTGAACTGAACAGAGGTTTCCAGCCCTCAGCTTTCCAAGTCCTGAACATGAATCATTAATTTGGAGATTTGGTGTCTGGGTTTGGAGGGAGTGAACCAGTTGGTTGGGATGGGTTTGTGTGTGTGTTTGTGTGTGTTTGATGGATTAAGTGGTAAGATCTTTACCTTGGCCCGCCCATCCCCACCCCAAGAACTTGCACATAAATATATTTCAGTTTCTCTCCCTACTTTTCCACTGCACCCTATACATGAGGTATGTCTCATGATCCCTGGAGAAGGATACACAAAAACACCTTAACTTGCCCCCCTCTCCAATTCTTGTGCCTCACCAGGCAAAAAATTCACTGAGGTCTAATTTCCATTTGCTGCTTCTCAACCACTTTTGTTAGGTCCACCAGGGAGGCAGTAAATAGGCCTGAACTACTTTTGCATTCCTCCCACCCCCTCTATTCCCTCCCCCACCCCCTTTAAGAAGAGAGAAGAAAACCGAGCTTCCCAGGGAAGCCATCACTGAGCGAATCCAGAGAAGTGGCCCAAATTATTCCAGTTTAATACTCAGTATTACTGTTCCCCTCAGACAGTCTCCAATGCTCATGAACAGGAAGAGAATAGGATCTGGGATTGGGGTGAAGGGAAGCTGGGTACTTTTTTCCCAGTTCCCCATTTTGTCCTCACCTTTCTCAGGCTCCTCCACTTCCTCTTCACTTTTCCAAAATTGTGTGTATTCTCCTTTAAGGGGCTGGGCATCTCTCCCGCCCTCTCCAGAGTCAACTGAAGTTTCCGAGGAGCCTCCTCTGGCTGGGCTGGACACACCTTTCAAAAGACCCCAAATCGTGCTCCGTGCACCTCAAACACTCCTTTCCTTTGGGCCCTCCCCCTCGCCCTGACTTGCCTCCTCTCAACTACAAGATTCAGCCTCTCCCCAAGGAGTTGAGCATCCTCGAGGTTTCCTACTCTTAACTGCTCCGTCCCCGGATGGAGCCAGAGAAATGTGGTGGGGGGGCCGGGGCCAGAGTTTCAACATCGCCCCCCAGAAGGAGGAGCCAGAGATGGGGGTAAGGAGAGGAAACTTGGGCTTGGGGGGGAGAGGGGCAGTCTGCAAGAGGGTGTGAATGGGGATGATGTGGAGATAAAAGAGGGAAGAAAAGGATCTAGGGGAGAAGAAGGGCCTCTCCTATCAACTTCGGTTGATGGAGCTTGGTCTGTCTTTTTCAGTCTCAAGTTCATTGTCTCATTATCCATTAACCAGCCCCTCCCTTTACTCTCTGCCAACCCCCATCCTGAGCTCCCCACAGCCACTGATCTCAGTTTCCCCCGAGAGTCTGAAGCCTCCAAAGGTGGCTGCTGAGGTAATCCTAGACCCCAGAGGTGGAGAGGCCTGGGGATTAACCCTATACCCTTCACAGCTCTCCGGACCAAAGTCTGTTCAGGGGAGTCGGATGCCGGAGCGCAGGAGTCGTCAGCTTGGCAGTTGCATGTCCTCTGGATGCCTCCCAGGTAATAATGCCCTTCCAATCCTTCTGCTCTCCAAAGACTCCTCCAAATTTCACCCTACTCAAACCTTGTTTCATACCCTTGCCAAAGATACCTCTGTGTTCCTTTTCCGGCTCAAAGTGCTTCTGCCTGAGGCTTGCTGTCTTCTGTGTGCAGAACTGTCTGGGAGCTTGGACCTTGATGGTCCCTCTGTTTTCCTGACCCTGTTATCCCTTTTCTCATTTACTTATTCAATAAACATTTGAGTGCCTACTATGTGCCAGGCACTGTTCTAGGCTCTAGAGCAAAAGAATACAAATTCTCTCCTCCTAAGCTTTCATTCTAGTGGGGTTAAGGGAGGATCTTAATCTTCCCTCCTTAGATCCTCCTGTCTCTGAGAAGTGGGTGTATGCAAGTGTGGACAACACTGGGACTAGTCATAACCTGGCTTCCCTTTTTCCCCTGTAGGGGAACAGATCCTAGCATGGGCCCCAGGGATGAGGAAGGGGCTGGAACCTGAATTGCCTGGAACCCTGATCTGCACCAACTTGAGGGTCACCTTCCAGCCCTGTGGATGGCAGCGGAGTCAGGTGAGATGGTTAGCGCAAGGGAAAGGACGCTAGCATGAAATGGGTAGGGGAGTCTAGAAGGATTAGACAAACATTACAGGAAGATAGTGAGAACTATGTCTAAGGGCTGTCTTTTGAATGTATCAGGGATAGTCAATGGGGACTATCTGTAGGGAGGGAAGGGGCTGTCAAGGCAGGACAATGAGAGAGATCTCAGATGTCTTTAGCATCAGTCATGTGCTTCCTCTAGGAGACTCCCCTGAGCAGTGAATATGATTTTGCCCTGGTCAACGTTGGGCGAGTAGAGGCTGGTAAGTGTGGGGGTTGGGTGAAGGACTCACTGGGGGTGTTGGAACCCCTCCTCATCCTCCTTCTATTCTCAGAGGACAGCCAGGGATGGACTAGGATGGGCTGGAAGAGTTCCTCCTAGAGGGACCCTAATCCATGGCTATGCTGCTCTCTAACTCTTGACTTCAGTAAGTGGCCTGTCCCGAATCCAGCTCCTCCGTCCAGGGTCCCTGCTTAAATTTATTCCTGAGGAGATTCTGATTCACGGCCGAGACTTCCGGCTGCTCAGAGTTGGTTTTGAGGCTGGAGGACTAGAGCCTCAGGCCTTTCAGGTAAGAGGTCCCCAACTCGAGGACCCCTCCTTCCCTTAGAGCCTTGTGATCCCTTCCCTGGCAATTCTCAGTACTCCCCTATCTCCCAGGATCCCTCTCATCATTCTCTCTGCTCCTCTCCTGAAGGAGAGGCTAAAAGGCTGGGATAAATGATAGTAATATGAGAATAAGGGGCCTGAATTCTAGTTCGGGTCTGCCAATTATCAGAAGTGTGACTATGGGCAAGTGTCTTCCTTTGAAAAATGGGGGTGGGGGTGGGGGAGGGTTGGTTGAAATTATTGCTAAGATTCCTCTCGGAATTAATACTTTGTGATTCTGTGGTTCTAGCTGTGTTCTCCTGACCCCAATCCTCATGACCTTTGGAAGCTCCCTTTGTTAGGGACTATCTTCCTTATTCTTCTCTATTGTGGCAAAAGCAGTGGTGCAACACGTGAGCCCCATTTCCTTCTTTTCAATTCTCTAGTCTGAGACAAAAGGATGGGATGCCCTTTCCTCCACAGGTGACCATGGCCATTGTCCAAGCCAGAGCTCAGAGCAGGCAAGCCCAACAGTATGCAGGGATAACCCTGAGCAAGGCTGGTGAGTGGGGGTGCTTTAGGGTAAGGAAAAGTAAAGAGTCTGAAAAAGCAGAGGCTGGCTGAAGACAAAGAACTGAGAAGCTGTCTCTGGTTCCTCCTCCTCTGTGCCTCACTCCTGCCCTAGGCCAGAGGTCTAGCTCCAGAAAACCACCTATTCCCCTCTTGGAGATATTAGAAGACTGGGAGACTGAGCGGAAAAAGCAGGGGGCCAAGGGCTGGAGGGTCAGCACCGTCAATGAGAGGTTCGACGTAGCCACCAGGTGATCTCCCAGTCCACTCCTGCTGCCATCTCAATCCTTCCAGTTTTCTGATCCTCTAAAGTTAGGACCTCCCACAAACTCCAGTCTCCTAGGACATCCACAAAGCTATGCCCCTTGCCTCCTAGATCTCTAAACCTGCAATCCCTTGGAACGATCCTTACCTAAGCAGCTTTCTTGTGATAACAGCTTTGCATTATAACGAGGTCACTGAGCCAAGCTGTAACATAACTCTCAATTTCACAGCCTCCCCCGTTACTTCTGGGTCCCTAACCGAACTCTGGATAATGAGATCAGGAGAGCATTTGGCCACTTCCATCAGGGCCGTGGACCGGTCAGTGTGAGGGTCAGGGTAATGGTTGGGGATTAGAGGGTCATGGGAGGTCAGGGGTCAGTGTGGAGGGAGGGAATCCCTGTGAGCTCAGTGTGGGGGCAAGGATAGTGTGGGGCCAGGAGATTCCTCCCATAATGATCCTCCTCTCACTCATTTGAAGCGCCTGTCCTGGCATCACCCTGGGGGCAGTGATCTTCTCCGCTGTGGTGGCTTCTATACAGCCAGTGACCCTAACAAGGAGGACATCAGGTGAGGGGAGGTTTGATGAGAATAATCAAGGGTTAGATGTTCAGGGCAGACTCCTTCCCTTACTTTCTGACTCCCTCCCCTCCAGAACAGTGGAGTTGATGCTCCAGGCTGGGCATTCAGATGTTGTCCTGGTAGACACAATGGATGAGCTGCCTAGTCTTGCAGATGTCCAACTTGCTCACTTGAGGCTGAGGGACCTCTGCCTACCTGGTAAGAATAACCTCTGACTGCTTACCCCTACCCTTAGACCTGCGGACCCTAACCTAGTTTACCTTTTGCCTGCTGTAGTTGATATCCCTTCAGCCCGATAATCCTTAGTTTTCTACTCAACTCCTATCTCCAACAAACTCACTATCTTCCTGTCTTCCCAATCCCAACATCTTTATTGCGATATAATTTATGTAAAAATTCAACAGCTTTATTGCAATATAATTTATGTAAAAATTCACCCTTCACCCATCTTAAAAGTCACTGAATTCAATGAATTTTATTATATTTATGTTGTATTGTTGTAAAACCATCACAATTTTAGAAACTTCATGGCCATTTATAGTTACTTCTCATTCCTATCCCTAACCCTAGGCAATCACTACCCAACTTACTCTTAACCTTTCAGGCTATGGATTCTGAATGTGAATCCTGTGTTCCCCGATCTCTTTGCCCTTCTAACATCTCTACTCTTTATCAGATTCATCTGTAGCTGAGGATAAATGGCTCTCAGCCCTGGAAGGAACACGATGGTTGGATTATGTCAGGTACTCCCTCTTTGTCTGACTGATTTATAATTCGACCCTCCCCAACCTTCTGTTAACTTGGACTCCTAAATGGCCTTCCATTAACTCTTCTCCTTGGTTTCCCAAGAATACTGTTATTTGCTGCTTGTTAGAAGGAGCTGCCTCTATTTCATCCCATGACACAACACTCCCTTCCTTCAGGCTTATCATTCTTCCCTCCTCTTCCTCACCTGCCCCTCCAGGTCTTGTCTTCGAAAGGCCAGTGACATTTCAGTCCTAGTGACATCCAGGGTTCGCTCTGTAGTACTTCAAGGTGAGTGTCTTGAGTCAACCCCCTCCATTCCTTGCCTTTTTCCTTTACCTACCTGACTGGTTCTGTTCAGGAGGGAGAACTATAAGGCTTCCTTGTTCCCTTCTAGTGCTAGCACCCTCTCCTGTTACTAGGAACTACCCATGAGCTCTAACTCATCCTTTAGTGCTACCTCTGCCCCCCGCTAAGCCTGTGGTCCCTAACAGTATGGTTCTCAGCTCTCTGTTCCCATCCTTCCATCAGCGGATGGGGATTGGGATTGGGGTGGGAAGGACTATGTGGAAGCTGATTTGATATTTATGATTCTGCCTCCTACATGTGAAGCTGGGTATTTCTATCCAAGTGGCGTCTATGAGTGAATCATTTAAGGTCTTTGTTTTTTCTTTACTTCTATGTGCCCCCTTGATCCTAACTACCCAAAACTTTTCCCCTCTGTGCCTCTCTCTTCTTGCTATGTTTCCTTTTCTCATTCTCTTCTGCCCTAGTTTCTTGGTCCCTCCTTCTTTGTCCCTTCTCCCTCTTTATCACCCAGAGCGCGGTGATCGTGATTTCAATGGCCTCCTCTCTTCACTCGTCCAGCTGCTTTCAGCCCCTGAAGCCCGAACACTGCTTGGCTTCCAATCACTAGTACAGCGAGAGTGGGTGGCAGCTGGACATCCTTTCCTGACCCGACTTGGGGGAACTGGGGCCAGTGAAGAGGTGAGAATGTTTTAGGAGGGTATTGGAAGGGTATTACTAAAGAAGTAAGGGGATGAGGAAATTATACAGGATAATCTGTTGGAGGTGAATCCAGTCAGAAGGGTCCTAAGGTTGGGCTGAGCTTCAAGAGCGACCCAGATGAGTGAGGGTTCACAACCCTCTACTAGTCAATTCAGATTTCCATTCCCTGACTTCCTTAGTTGCTCCTGTTCCCTGTGTCTCTCATCCCCTGTCATTTTGTCATCCCCCCACGCCGAGTCCCAGAATCCCTTCCAACCTCTTAATGTCCCTCTTCTCAGGCCCCAGTGTTTCTCCTTTTCCTTGATTGCGTCTGGCAGCTCCTCCAGCAGTTTCCAGCTGAGTTTGAATTCTCTGAGTTTTTCCTTCTTGCTCTTCAAGACAGTGTCAGGGTTCCTGACACCCTTACATTCTTGAGAGACACTCCCTGGGAGCGTGGAAAGCAGAGTGGACAGGTCAGTGATTTCCATTTTTGACTTGTCTTTTTTTTTTTTTTGCCTCATTGAGAAGTACTCTCTAAAGTTTAGTCTTGATTTATGAAAAGTAAGGTCTGTCGGTGGGAAAGGGGGAGGTTGGTGCTCACTCTGAGGACTGGACTTTCACCCTACATGATTCTTATAGTAAGAGATGAGAGTTTCATGATTTCTCCATAGACTTGGGAAAAGGATTATGCTTTTTCTGTTTAACCATCCTTTTTCTTGTTTCCTCTGTCCAGCTCAACTCCTATACACAAGTCTATACCCCGGGGTACTCCCAGCCCTCAGCTGGGAATTCTGTTAACCAAAAGCTGTCTGTCTGGGACTGGGATTTACGCTACAGCAATGAACAGATACTACAATTCCATAATCCTGGCTATGACCCAGAACACTGCCCAGGTTCCTGGCTCCCTAGACAGCAGGTGAGGTGTCTAAACTTCCTAAATTCCCTTGACTTTCTCACAGGCTCATCCTACTAGATGGGGTGAAGGGGAAAGACAGTGTCTGAGTTCCCCAGGGAAAGCTACCCAACTCCTCTTCTGTAGCTGTTACTTATAGTCCCTGGCTGTCCTGAGGAAGACAGAAATCCTGGAATAGCACAGAGGGCATCCTTTTTATCCTCCTCATTTCCTCTCTTATGCATACATTTTACATGTTTCCCTAAAATCAATTTTAATCAGTCCTGAGGTCTAGTTTGAAGCCTAATGAGGAGAGTAGACAAAGAATTCTCAGGGAGAGGCTTGTAGTTCCATCACTAGTGCAGTGTGAACTGGGCATTCCTTCCTGACTCAGTTTGGGGAAACTGGGGTCATCTGGTTTCTAGGTTGCTTTCCCTTTCTCCTTTAGCCAAGCTTCATGGTTCCTGGACCCCCCAGTTCTGTGTGGCTCTTCTCTAGAGGGGCCCTGACCCCCCTGCATCAGCTCTGCCCTTGGCGGGACAGTCCGTCCCTGCTTGCAGTCTCTTCTCGTTGGCTCCCTCGACCTGCCATCTCCTCAGAAAGTCTGGCTGATCAGGAGTGGGGGCTCCCTTCACATTGGGGAGCTTGCCCTTTACCACCAGGGCTGTTGCTGCCTGGATATCTCGGACCCCAGATCAGGCTCTGGAGACGCTGCTACCTGAGGGGAAGGCCTGAGGTCCAGGTGAGCAGGGGAGACAGGGATTGGGAGTGGGAGAAGGGGCCTGACTGCTGAACCAGATGTGCTAGCAGAAACCAGAGGTTTCGATGTTTCTAGGAGCTGGAAACGCAAGGGCTGTAGGGACTGGGAAGTGAAGTACCGTTCCTGCTGGGATCAAAGTGGATACATTTGGGAATGTGGGAAACTGCTGGAGACTTAAATCAAGCGGAACCTAGGGCATAACTGGAGGGGAAGAGAGAATTAAAGACACCAGAAGCAGTGGGCAGATCTTAGAAGCAGAGAGCTAGAGCTGCAATAATATTCCTCTCTGCCTCTCTTCACCCCTCCCCAGATGGGCCTCTCAGCTCCCACAGTCTCTGGCCTCCAGGATGAGCTATCCCATCTTCAGGAGCTATTAAGGAAATGGACACCAAGAATATCTCCTGAGGATCACTCCAAGAAAAGAGATCCAAACACCATTCTCTCCCAATCCTGTTGAAACTGCTGGCTTCCTCATGGGCAGGGCAGAGGGCATCTGAGATGATGGAGGGTTCCCTCTAATCTTTCAGTTTTTCTTATCTAGTCATGCTGCCTCAGCTTTCACACTCCAGCCCTTAACAAGCTCACAGACTTGAGCTTTCATTGCAGATGTGTGGTGCTAACCTTCTCCAACTCTTGTCCTCATTTGTTTCTTGTGATTTGAAGAATTAAGAAACAATCCAGAGTATGATCGCCTCTTTTTTTCAGGGAAATTGCATGCCTTTTGGATATCCAACTGTTAAATTGTGAGATCAGAGATGCTGTTCAGCAGTCCCAAGATGGCCTACAGACTTCATTCATCACCTCCTCTTGCAGCTTCTTTAATTCCAGTTTCTATTTCTTCCTTTATAGTTTTCTATGGGCATGGGGTGGATATGGGAGACACCCTGTCTCTTCCAATTGTGTATTTTTGTAGTGACATTTCTATTAAGGAGTTCATTAAAGCACAGTATTTATACACATCGCTGGCATTGTTTCTTGTGTCTGAATAAAGCATCCCAGATAAGTAAGTGGTGGGTGGAGGGTGGGTGTCACCCAAGAAGAAGGCACCCACCATATTGTTGCTAAGGAAGTAAAGGTATGTGTCAGCTGAGGCTCTGCAGAATTCACGTGCAATTCAGGAAAAGGATTCTCTTTTCTCTGCCTCCCATTTAGGGGCAAGATGGGACAAAAGCACACCAAGGTGTTGTTGCTGGGGCCGGGGGTGTGTTCTGTAAGTTGAGACTGGGGACTCCGGGCTTCAGTGTCAACTGCCCCTCAGCTTTGGGCGCGCTCCATCTCGGAGCCCCAGGTTCCCCTCACCCCCATATGCAATAACAACTCGGGGAAGTCAGACGTCGCTCCAGCTTAGACATTCCGTAACGCCCTCCTCTGAGGGAAAATGGAATACCTGAAGCCCAGGCCCAGGCGGTGAGGCCGAATCGGCCCAAACGCGGCTCGAAGGCAGCCGCGTCCTTGCGGTGGGGGAGGGGATTCCCCAGCAGACCCTTCTCTGGGGAACAAAAGGTTCACTTGGCTACAAAATATATGAAAAGTAAAGTTTTGTTCTTGTAGGTTTCGAATTTACAATTTTGGGAGCAGCGTAGCCCTTTGACGTCTAGCACTGCTTTTAGACGGTCTGAGCGATTCCGTTCCGCTTTCTCGGCCCTGACCGCTCGCAGCGGCACCTCGGGGCAGCGCCAGGAACCGGGACACTCCGTCACGAGAGACGCCCCAAGTCTCGGCGGCTCCCAAGATGGCCGCGGCCGTTTCAGGTTCCCTTCCACCCAACCCGCCGCGGCCCCGCCCACCGCCTCCCGTACGCCTTCGCCCCGGAAGTGGAAGTAGTGACTGAGGTCAGAGGGCGGAGTCGCTGCCTGGAGACGGCGGGTTCTCTTTCGCCATGGCTGCCGGGCCGATCTCCGAGCGGAACCAGGGTAACTGGAGGGGACGAGCTCGGAATGGACCTAGGGGGGCTGGGAGGTCCCCACTATGGCCAGCAGCATTTCCACCGTGGCGGGAGACGGGACCACCGCAGAGGGCGCGAGAGCGGCCCCGGTGCCCGCTGGGGGCGGAGTGGCTGAGTGCAGGCTGAGGCCTGTAGGTGTGATGCTTTTTATGTCCAATCCTCTGCCGCCTTCCCGCTCCAAAAAGAAATTCAAAAGGAATTTGCGGCAGAACTCTTAGACTTCAGAAGGTTCTCCAGTTCCTGGAAAGAGGGAGATGTAAGGGCTTAATCTAACGTCTTTGTCCTTTTTGCTCCTATGCCCCATCTCCGCTCCCAATTCCTCCACCTGGGTTCCATTTTCATATTCCTGTCACTCTCTTTCCTGTCATACTCTCATCTCTGCCCTAACCTCCTGTTCCCGCCCTCTAGATGCCACGGTGTACGTGGGGGGCCTGGACGAGAAAGTTAGCGAACCACTGCTGTGGGAGCTATTTCTCCAGGCAGGGCCAGTAGTCAACACCCACATGCCAAAGGATAGAGTCACTGGTCAGCACCAAGGTGAGTACATGGCAAGAGGTGCGTTTATGTATTGAGGGGACAGACTGCTTCTGGAGGGCCCCAGCAGTATTCACAACTGTTTTGCAATGAGCAACCTAAAGATTTCTTTCTCTTAAGCCTGGCTCACAGTTTGTTTCTGGAACCATTCTCAATGGAAATGAGGTTATTATTTCTTATTGTGTGTGCTTTTGGAGGTGAATGAGGTAGACCCCATTTTGAATCAATTCATGTAAGTTGTTAACCTCCTCTCTTCTGCTTTCCCAGGCTATGGCTTTGTGGAATTCTTGAGTGAGGAAGATGCTGACTATGCCATTAAGATCATGAACATGATCAAACTCTATGGGAAACCAATACGAGTGAACAAGGCGTCAGCTCACAACAAAAACCTGGATGTGGGTGCCAACATTTTCATTGGGAACTTGGACCCAGAGATTGATGAGAAGCTACTTTATGATACTTTCAGTGCCTTTGGTGTCATTTTACAAACCCCCAAGATTATGCGGGACCCTGACACAGGCAACTCCAAAGGTTATGCCTTTATTAATTTTGCTTCGTTTGATGCTTCGGATGCAGCAATTGAGGCCATGAATGGGCAGTACCTCTGTAACCGCCCTATCACTGTGTCCTATGCCTTTAAGAAGGACTCCAAGGGTGAACGCCATGGCTCAGCAGCCGAACGACTTCTGGCAGCCCAGAACCCACTCTCCCAGGCTGACCGCCCCCATCAGCTGTTTGCAGATGCACCCCCTCCACCCTCTGCCCCCAATCCTGTGGTATCATCACTGGGGTCTGGGCTTCCTCCACCAGGTAAAGCTTTTGATTGAAAATATGTTTGTCTTGGGTTTGGGAGGGGAGGGGCAGGAAAAAGAACTTGATAAAGTGGGACATTGAGTCAGTGGATCATGAGAAGGGGGTTGAGGGTGATGGTTGTGGTGGGGAAGAAAGTTGTTGAATTTCTCCAGGAGGTTGAAGTTGTATGAGTTGCCTAACGTTGCTTCTGGCTTTAGAGAGCTTCGAGGAGGGGAAAGGAGCTCATCCTGCCTGGAGATTGGAACAGGCTCTCTAAAGACAGTCTCTCCTCACTATCATTAACTCTTCTTCCATTCTCTCTATAGGCATGCCTCCACCTGGCTCTTTCCCACCTCCAGTGCCACCTCCTGGAGCCCTTCCACCTGGGATACCCCCAGCCATGCCCCCACCACCTATGCCTCCTGGGGCTGGAGGACATGGCCCCCCATCAGCAGGAACCCCAGGAGCTGGACATCCTGGACATGGACACTCACATCCTCACCCGTTTCCACCTGGTGGGATGCCCCATCCAGGTGGGTGTTCTTTGCTGGGAAAGGGAGGGATGAGCTTGGTTGCTGCTTTTTGTCCTTCAACAATAATAGATAGTCCCAGAACCTTCCTTTCCTTTGGACATTCATTTACAAAAACAGACACAAAATTCTTTACTCTGTTTACTTTAACAACTACCACCTTGTCTCTGTTTCTTATTTAAGTTTTTCCAAGGAGTAATCTATGCTTGCTGTGTTTTTGTTTCCTTAACTTTTACTTCCATTCTCTCTGACCTCCTTTCACTGCAGTGACCTACGGGCCCGATCTAGGGGACACTTCTGCTCCTTATCTGGTTTGACTTTTGCTGTACTTGAAACCAGCCATGTCCTCCTGTTTGGAAATCTTGTCTCCTTTGGTTTTTCTGGATTCTCCATCTATCTCTGACTCCTCATTCACAGCCACCTCAATAAACTTCTTTTTCTTTGCTTGTCCCTAGGTTTTTGTGCTTGGTTCTCTGTTCTGCATAGTTCCATTACTTGTACACTGATATTTCCTGGATCTGTATCTCTGGTCTATCGTTATTAATATTTCAGATCCTTAATCCTGCTACTTAAGAGACAGCTCCATTTTTCTACCCCTCCCCTTCAAATCTATTCTTCCTGTAGTATACTTGGTTTTCAGGCACCTAATTCAGAAATCTGGGAGCTATGTTTGACTATTCCCTATTACCCCATTTTTAATACCAAGTCTTATTAATATCTTTGGCATCAGCCCCTACAGCCAGTGCCCTAGTTCAGGCCTGCATATTCTCACAATTTCATACCTAATTTATCCTAGTAATTTCCTAACTGACATTTTGACTCCAGTGTTCTCTACCTTTGATCCACTTTCACAGGGTAATTTTTCTAAAACACAGATGTTCACACACAACCTTGCTCAAAATTCTTCTGTTGCTCCCTTTTACCTACAGAGTGAAACCCAGACTTGTTACCATAGTATTCTGTGATCTAGCCCCTGCCCATTACTCCTATGACTGCATGCTGCCCCTTCTTACTGAGTTACTTGTTTTCCTGGAATATACTGTGCCATTTGACACACCTCTGATTTGCATATGCTAATCTTTTCTGCCTGGGATGTTCTATTCCCACTCTCTTGTCCACGTGAACAATTTTTATTCATCCTTTAGAATTAGATCCTTCTCGAGACAGTATTTCTTCTACCTTCTCAAATCCTGTCACTAGAATAATCACTCCTTTGTTAGAATGCCTGAGTCATGAAAAGAGCAAGTGAAGTGGGTGAGGAGTTGATTGAGTAGTTGGTTGGTTTGTACCATTGGAATGGGGTCAAGGACAGGGACACTTTTTACCAGCTTTATTTTACGTACTCTTCTCTTCCTCATGTCACTTCTTTCTCCATTTTGTTCTCCTCCTTTCTCTATTTTCTTGACTTTCTTCTCTTATCTTACTTTTATCTCCTTTCTCTTTGTGTCTGTTTTGTTCTTACAGGGATGTCTCAGATGCAGCTGGCTCACCATGGCCCTCATGGCTTAGGACACCCGCACGCTGGGCCCCCAGGCTCTGGGGGGCAGCCACCACCCCGACCACCCCCTGGAATGCCTCATCCTGGACCTCCTCCAATGGGCATGCCCCCCCGAGGGCCTCCGTTTGGCTCTCCCATGGGTGAGTAGGCTCTAGCCACCTCCTTCGTTGTCACCTATCATATTCTTGCAGCTTCCTTTGTCACACCCCACGTCTCCTGATGTTTTTTCTTTTTCTTTTTACTTTTACAGACAGTCTCCCTGTCTGTCCTCTCCCTACATTTTCCCAATGTCAACTGTCTCCTATTTCTTGTTTTTATTAACTTTCCTTTCTCTTCCTGCAGGTCACCCAGGTCCTATGCCTCCACATGGTATGCGTGGACCTCCTCCACTGATGCCCCCTCATGGATACACTGGCCCTCCACGACCCCCACCCTATGGCTACCAGCGAGGACCCCTCCCTCCACCCAGACCCACTCCCCGGCCTCCAGTTCCCCCTCGTGGCCCGCTTCGAGGCCCTCTCCCTCAGTAATTTCTCATTCTTTTTCCTCCTCTTATATCTTCCCAGTATCTTTTCAGTTTGGACCAATCTGCTGTAGCTCTCTGGGGCTAAAGCACTACTCCTTCTCAAGCCTTTTTTTTTTAAGTGTAATTTTTTTCAC